AAGCGTGCTTGAAGCCGAAGTTACCGTGCTTAAAGGCGTGTAATTTATATAGCAAAAATTCGGTAAGAGCCGTTTAGCTTGCTTGCTTAAAGCCGGCACGGACTGTATAACGACAATGGAACCGAAAAAGAGCCTCGATCTCGCAGGCGCATTAAGAACCCCATTATGTAGGGTCTGTAACATTATCATTTTATATTATTATACGATTACTACTTACCCTCGACTTCCACGAAAGCGCGATGTGAGTCATAGGGCACCGAGCGAGTCACCGTCTCCTCCATGATGATAGCGAAACTGTAAACATCTCCTTTTTTGGATCCTCCGACAATCTCGCCAATACCTAGGTGCTCAGGTGCCACCCACAATAATTCTGGAGGGAAACATAGATTGTAAATCAATACACCATGCATCATCAAGGAAAATTATTGTTGTACTGGGCAAAAAAAAAATACATGTAACTGAGGTACGTTTGGAAGCGTTGCTCTACGCCTACGCTACTGATGAGTGCTAACCTGATGATGGATTTGTAAACCTGGAACAAATAGCTGATGTAAAGTCCATCATGCAACATTAGTGTAGGCTGAATTGTCCATGGACAATGAAAAAGAAGTGTTCGAAGATCGATATAACATTTTCTGCACCACTTTATTTCCTTTCACTTCATCTGAGAAAATTCTTTTTCCCCACTCATTTTTTGGATGACTCATTTTCTAAAATAAACACCTTTATTCTATGTCATTTTCAATAGCAGCCCAGCGTTATTTCTCTGTAAAGAAAGCCTCTTTAAAAGACACATGATATTCCCCATCTTTATGATCACCCTAATAAGGCTGAAACTTGATGCAGTTGAGAGAGAGAGAGAGAGAGAGAGAGAGAGAGAGAGAGAGAGAGAGAGAGAGAGAGAGAGAGAGAGAGAGATTGGAAAGCGCCGGGACTAAAGATTACCATGAGAGAGAAAGAGGAGAGAGAGAGAGATAGGGAGAGAGAGAAATAGGGAGACAGAGATTCCCTTGGAGTCACTGGAGAGCCGTCCTACAGAGCCGAAAGATGAAAATACGGTATTGGCCGAGATACTCCCCCATACACTGGCTAGAGGTGATGCATGAGGAAAAGAAACCTGTATTACAGAATGTAGAAAGTCTGCCAGCATTCAAGCAAAATACCTGATAATCCTTGGCTGGAAAAAGGAAACAGGACATTTCTACAGCTGATATATTTATGTGCACATAAATCGTAAAGTCACAAGTAGGAGTAAGATATTTCTGGAAAATAATTTTCACCTCAACTATCTTGGATATGGGCACAGTAACTTACATTTTATACGGAGGCAACTATAGTCATATTAAAAGTGGGTATTTAGCACTCAGACTTATCTATTTTTTTATCTGCATATTGAATTAATTCACCGACCAACATTTCAACACGACGAGCCTAAGATACATTGACGGTAACATAAATAAAACAATTCACAAAAACAGCATGGCAGTACATGAACACACCAAGCATAAAGCAGGTTGAATGGCAAGGTATATACACAATTACAAAATAAAAACCAACGAAACATAAAGGAGAAAAAGAGAGGCAAGCTATCGACATATTGTCTTCTAAAACTGAATGAGAACTAGTAAACCATTAAAACAACAATAATAATAATAAAAACAAAATAATTGTCAGATGTAAGTTCTTCAAAAGGCCAAAACATGCATCACTCTTACAGCTATTCCCTAAACCAAATCACATTTGTACTATTTATGCAATAGCTGTAAAGCGCACAGGGTATGCTGTAGAGCATGGATGTGCCCGTATAAATGCAATTATTATGTATAACTGCGTGACAAGATCAATCCCCTGGACACAATATCGTCGCCTGAGTACAACAACCCTGTAACCCACACTGTCAAAAAACACCTTTTTTTTGCTTTTTTCTACTAAATGTAACGTTGCAGATTTCGTGTCAAATTTGTAAACATGTAGCTCAATAAATATCGCCAGCGCAACGTTCAGACTTTAATTTTTAACATATGTTAGACGAACTGACAAAGTTTTTCCTTGTCCTGTAAAACTTTGTTTATGTGGGATGCAGGGTACTAGAGCGACGATATGTTGTCCTCTGACAAAGCTTCATGTACCCAACATTTATAATCTGGCAAGTCCTACGGGCCGTTGAATTGACTGAAGATAAAATGTTCTTATTCTGTGGCCCTACACATAACACAACATATAAATATGACCAAATGCATGAGAGCACCTAGTGACTGTAATCAATAGCGGGTCAGTACATGTCAACCTGTGAGCCAGAGATGACACCTCCAGATATTCTAGGTAAATAACACAGTTCTGCTCATAAGAAAAGAAAAGAAAGTTCTGGACCATACACACCATGAGCAACCCAAACTCTGAGAACAACTGTCCCCTAGTTTTTCAAAACTTCATAAACCATGCTGACATGAAGGGGAAAAAAAGGCAAGAACATTATCTTTCATATGAGAAAACTGAAGGACTGAAAACTTCTAATCTCTCATGGAATCCCCCCCCCCCCCCACACACGCACACTCAAACAAAGACAAACGGTAAGTAATCCGAGAGACAGATTATGTAAAGTCTTTGAGCATTACAAAACTTACTCCTATAGTGAAAGGATTCGTAGAGTGACAAAAACCTACTGACCTCTGCCTACAAGGACTCTGCTTTTGAGCTCCACGCACTCAACCAAGTCAGTTGCCTTTCATCGGTACTTTCCCCTGTTCTATGAGGAGAACAACACATTGGCAGACACAAAATGAATTCACTTCTGTAATCAGACAGACTGCGGCTTAAACTTAACCCTTCAGCCCTAGCCACTGGCACAAACATAGCAAGTAAAACTGCGCGAGCGCCCTCCTACTACAAACACACTGGTGAGTGAGACCGCATATCATCATTGTAGGATGTTTAAAGCACGTATTTATGAGCCAATCTTAAAGCCTGTATTTATCGGCCAATCAAAACAGCAGTACTGGTACTACACTTATTTTGGCTAAGGTCTTGCCGACATGTCTGCACTCATGTGTCAGAAGTGAGTGGTTCAAAATAACGCGATTTCATCCAATCTTGTCTTGAATCTCTCAGGAGGTCAGTCAGTGGGGTCACGGAGCCTCAGGAGATCAGGGTTTAAAATGTTAAAGCCCTTACAATGAAGCTGGGAATTATGTCCCCCCACAAGCGAACAATGATGCAAATAAATTCAAATAATCTTTCTCCATTCTATAACTTACAATTACTGATTTCTCCTGAAAATAATCAAATCAAACTGAGTTTGACATCAGCACCATGTCTCAAATTTCACTCCACATCACCACTGATGTACGTAACGTCCCTTCTGACTCGCAAAACATCACTACTGGTTCATACATCACACACAACATTCCCATCCCACATCACAAAGCAAACATCTTTGCAAAAACATCTGTTCACTCATGCAACATTACTCTCAGCCCAAACATTACCAGAGGCCAAAGTCATCTGTGCCTCAACACAACATCACATTGAACACACACACACACTACCACAGACGAAAATCATCTGTTCATTAACATCCAAGGTCATATGTTCACCAATGTCCGATGTCGTCAGTTCACCAACACATCATCACTCTCCACAAACACACAATCTCAGAGAAAGGTCATTCGTTCACCAACACAATATGACTCTCCACCCACAGACGGAGAACGCCATCACACACAGACTCACACACTGTCTGACACGGTACTGTAATCCTCCGACAGCTGATCCACGAGGTCCGTACGTCCGATGTCATCTTCCCGCAACACCCCAAACAACAGATCTATCTTGTCCTGCGAGTTGTTGTCGTTGGAGTCGGCGCCTCGCCACTCCAGGAGCGCGTGCAGGATCTGCTGGTACACATCCTGGCAGCATCAGAGGGAAAAAAAAAAGAGTTAGAGAACAATCTTATCACAGAATTCTCTTTGTTGTAAACATCCTGTAAACTTAGATAGGAAAAAAAATGTGTCACAACATAGTGCAATCAGCAGGCGTTCGTCAGTTTTTGGGTATATGGAGTTATTGGTTTCATGTTATAACTTGATCATTTTGTCTTGCTTCAGTTGACAAATATACACATTTACCTTGAATAGATATTGAGATATTTGCAAAAGAAGGAGATGGGGTCACCTGGTTTCAGGCAGAGGTAAAATTGGCCCAAATACGGACACCAGTTAGGTGACTTCCAGAGCCTGAGTGTCCTTGAAAACTGCAAAATATACACTTTTCGTGTTGTTGATTAATGTTTTTCAGTAAAACCCACACAGAAATGTGTTTTTAAATGGTAAGGTAAACATGAAAGGTGCTGAGCTCTGAATTAAACATATGCCTCCAAAAGGACCAGTTCGGGACAGTTGGCCAGCCTTCAAACACAAAACACTACCCAAGAATAACAAAGATCTATCTGCTCAGTACCTAGTTTTAAGAAATTTGACGTAAACAATTTTGAGTATCACAACATGCCAAGCTTTTACGAATGCAAGTCTTTGAATATTTTGATTACTACTCCAAATAATCTTACAATTTTAAAAGAGAAGATAAAAAATTTGGTTTCGGACCTCATGGTCTTTTTAACTCAAAACAACCAAAAATGTCACGATAGAACTTTGTAATTCTGAGGTAGCATGTAGGCCTACAAACACAAATGTGACGCAGAGAACGACTCACGTATTGATACGTCATAATCAGCTGTTCAATTCGGGCCTGTGGGATGCCGAGTCGGAGGATGACGGCCGACCAGTTGAAGCCCAGGTTGGCGGCGATGAAGGCCAGGCCCCCGTCAGACAGGACTGAGACAGAGGCTCCGCGCGGACCGTCCACTGTGTCCACCATCAGCGACTTCAGCATGAACTCCGTGGCCGCGCGCATGTACTCCTGGTGGTTCTCTTGATAACCTGGGGCAGACAAACCAAACAAACACATCAAAACCCACACAAAGGGTAATCAAACACATTAAAACCTGCAGATAAAGCAATCAAACACATTATAATCCATACAAAATGTAATCATACCTATTCAAATCTATACAAAATATAATCAAACTCATTTAAATCTGCACAAAATGTTATCATACCTACTCAAATCTATACAAAATGTAATCAAATGCATTCAAATCTGTACAATATGTAATGAAATGCATGCAAATTCATACCAAACGTAATCAAATGCATTTAAATCTGTACAAAATGTAATCATACCCATTAAAATTCAAACAAAATAGTGCTGCTTTACTTTGTTTTAGTAAGTTTTATTGCCCTGACTACACAACTAGGTCATGTAAGTGACAAAGATCAGATGAGTAAGTAGAGGTAACATATAAAGAAAAGAGAGAAGAGAGATCTGGACAATAGACGTTTGATAGGAAAGAGGGAGCAAATCACCAACCACCCACTTGTTGCTGCTCATTTGTACTTAACTCTCCAAGAGTCGCTAGGGTGTCAGTGGAAATTATATGATTCCACCATACATGTATTATGTTAGGAAATGTCTGAAAACAGGCAAACCAAGCAAGGAAAGGTCATAAGCCTATGTATGTGGCACGACGAGGTGGAATCAGGCGCTCGTCAATTTTTGGGCATATGGTTAATTGGTATCATCTTAAAGCCTGTTTATTTGTCTTGCTTTTGGCGAAAAAAATATCCATCTATGTAGAATAGAAGTCAAGATATTTGCGACTGAAGGAGGTGTGGGTCATCTGGTTTCAGAGGTAAAATTCACGAGAAAATGGTCACCAAAGTTTGCTAACTTCCATAGAGCTTGAGAGACCTTGGAAACTAAAAATGTACATTTTTTGCCCCTTTGATCAGTGTTTTTCAGAAAAATCCATTGAAATGTGTTTTTAAATTAATGTAAAATGTGTTGAGTGAATAAAACAAAATTAGAACAAAACTGCCAGACCGCCAGAAAATCACCAGTTTCTTTGATTTCAATATTTTGACAAGCACCTGATTTCACCACTATGCCTCACATATATTTTCAGAAAAACAGAATGTATATTAAATTAAGAAGGGATCATTTGTGAAGGAGCTGAAATGTTTGCAATAACAAAAAAACAGGATAAAGAAACCTAATCAAATAGCGACTCAAATTATGGCCGATTAAATTGGCCCTGACACTTGGAGGGTTAATAATATAAATGCATTTGTAGAAATTCTATGTCCCTGTCAATACTATTTACATCATTATCATTATTATTATAGTTAATTCATTTAAGAGGCTGGCTGCTTTAACCCTAACTGTTAGGACCAGCCTGGGATGAAAGGGATTCAATGTCCCAACAGAAAAATGGAGAAGCTTGATAAAAATTCTCCCCACATGGGAATAAAACCCTTGTGCTGTTCCTATATTTTTAACCTATGCATAGCAGTTGCTGTCCAACTAGGTTACAGTCAGGATGGATTTTTTGTGACAAGCCCAGCCTCACAACCTACTCACAGGGGTCACTTTCTACATAAGTTTTCTGCCAAACGGTCCTCAGAATGAGTGTGTTTGTTTAACTAACAATTAACGCAAAGAAACTCTTACGATAGACAACAAATTTGATGGAAATGAAACGGAAAGATAAAATTATGATTTCAGATTCTATACCATCTGTTTGACTTTGTCAAGTCGATATAAGGGACCGCAACTCACAACCTGTCCATAGAGAGGCCATTTGTTTTTAACAGGTCACTTTTCTCTGTGATCTTGAGAAACCATTTTGAACAGGTTCCACACGACTTGCTTGAACTGCTTACATCAATATAATTGTGTCGTACTTAAGGATCTTCTTCTTAAAGCGCCAGATCTCGGACACAAATCAAAACGCTCACCACTCACTTCTCTCTTCATATGTTCTCAAACAAACCAGTATGTGAGGCATTGAGTAGAAATCAGGTGCTAGTCAAAACAATGAATCAAAGAAACCGGCACTTTTCTGGCAGTTACACAGTAGATTTTTGTTGTGGGGAGGGGAGGGGTTGTTCCTCAACACCTTTTATGTCTATTTTTTAAAATTTAAAAACGTATATGTGTAGATTTTACTCAAAAACGTTAATCAAAGGCACAAAAATTGTAAATATGCAGTTTTCAAGGACTCTCAAGCTTTAAAAGTCGCCAAAATGTGGTGGCCATTTTCTCGTTAATTTCACTGTTGACAACAGGTGACCCCACTTCCTTCAATCACAAATATCTTGACTTCTATTCAAGACAGATAGGTATTTTTTTCACAAAGACAGACAATTGAACAAGCTATAAGACAATACCAATAAGTCCATATGCCCCAAAATTGACGAATATCTGATTACACCGAATCGTAACATATTATTATTATCCAAGTCTGTTCCCATCACCTTATTTCGTAACATCAGAAAACTTACTTGACTCATCCAATGGAAAGACAAAAGCAGTGGGCACAACTTCATCTGGCATTTTCTCACAGCACTTCATGGAGTACAGTCCCTTGGGAATGGTGTGCTCCAGCACATGGCCCGGGAACCGGTACGGCTCGTCCACCCCGCGGAGCACACAGTGCAAGCAAACCAGGCTGATGTCACACTTGACCAGTGGCCAGTCTTTGAACAGACTCATGGCAGCCCGGCGCACGCTCAGAACCATGCCCCACAGATCCTGCAGATCCGAGGCGCTGCGGGCCGCAACCGTCACCACCGTCCCTCCGTTCTTCTTCTCGCGCGTGACAAGAAGTGACGAGAGGTTGCGCACAGCGAGCACACCGTCTCGCCAGTTGATGCGCTCCGTGTCCGAAAGTAAGTTCTGCAGCTTCACCGACAGTTTCTCAAAGAAGTTGGGCGGAGCCTGACGGGAGAAAACCAGCTCAATACAAATCTCAAACGTGTTTGGAGGCAAACTTGCCGGCCATTTCGACTCCATGCTCTCGGGCAGCTCCTCCGGGAAGAACCAGGGGAACTGAACCACGCTGGACGAACCAATCAGAGCGCTGGCCGTAGAGTTGGTCAGTTCAAAGCACAGGCCAAACTTCAACATGACTGAGAGGATAAGACTAAGCAGGGCGCTTGGTGCGTCCGAAGACAGATCAAAATGTATCAGCAAGTACCGCAGCAGCTCTTTGGTGAGGAGGCCTTTCTTCAGGAAATCTTTCTTCATTTTGTCGAATTGCGCCTGCCGTAGAGAGACCGAGCTGCCCGTGTCCTCGCTGTACACCACCACCTGGTCGAAGTCGTGTCTGAACACGGCGCGCAGCATGTCGATGAGCGCCTCGGGCCGGTGGAACACGGTGCCGCGCAGGTCGTCGTTGTCATGGTACCAAAGGATCTCGCCCGTCGAGTGCAGGTACTTGAGCACCATCTCCAGGCTGAGCTGTGGGGAGCCGCGCATGCCCATCATGGACTGGTGGCTGCTCGTCATCACCTGAACACAGAGATACATTGTGGGTCTGAGGTGTCGTTTTACACTGTGTATTTATATCGCTCACTTATAATTGCACAATATGTGAGTATGAGTGATGGGAGAGAAGGTGTGTGCGTGTGTGGGGGTGTGTGTATGTGCATGTGTGTGTGTGTAATGTGTTTGTGTGACTGTGTATGTGTGTGTGCGCATGCGTATGTGTGTGTTGTCTGTGTCTGTGTGTGTGCATGTATGTGATTTCTTTTGTATACAAATAAATACGAGCAAATAATTTTTTTTTTCGGATATTGTTCTTTGTAGTTGGATTTCTAAAAAGCTCATAACTCTGTGTGCTCACATGAGAAGAAAAGAACATCATCACAACCCTGTAAACAGTATCAACGCTAAAATTTCCCCAAAGCCCCGTATAAATCGCCCGGCTTACCGTTTGGAACATTTCCATGGCCTGGTCTAGGGAGATAATCCTAGCGGTCACTTGTTGCAGCTGCTCCAGGAAGGAGAACCAGTGGTCAGGCAGGGCCGTGATGGGCACAGACTTGAGCTGCTGGACGAGAGAGTCGCGGAACTCGCCCACTCCGTCCAGCCGGTCAGCGCAGCTCACCACGAAGATGTGCTCGGGGAGCTGGGGACACACACACCAAGGACAATTCTGGTTTTTGTTCGTGTAAGAGTTTAGCATTAGTAAGAGTTTTATGGCACTTGCAAATATAATTCAGTCACATAAGTGCTGATATTTAGAGATTTTACTGGAGACCTTAGTTGTTGTCTTTTTTTTTCAGTAACTGTTTTACAGCACTTGCAAAACAGTAAGGTAATAAAATTGCTGAAGACTAGAGATGTTCCAAGAGAGTAATAAACACACAAAAAAGGGTAAATAAGGACAATAGATCTTTTAATAGGAAAGCACCTGCCAAACACCCACAAAGTTCGTTTTAGTAAAGAGAAGAACATTACACAATGTTTATTCAGTGCTAGGAAGGACAGACAGAAACACAAAGGGAAAACTAAAGTAAGACTTACCAGTAGCACCCTCCAATCACCCACAGTAAAGAGACAAAAAATGGTGATTCAGTGCTGGGTTTAGTTTAGTTTTAGTAAGCGTTTTACTGCACTTGCAATACAAACAAGTCATACAAATGCCACAGATTAGAGGTGTCACTAGAGTGAAACATTATGTTTGTTTCAGTAGAGGTTTTATGGTGCTCGCAGTCGCCAAAGATAGTAAATAACAAGATGGGCCACTCAGCCAAAAAAGTGTCGGCAGGAAGTATGCTCTTTGCTTCAGATGGCGCTGCAGTCTGTTTTGAAGCTCTCTTTCGTTTTTCCAGAAGAAGAATAGGAATAGCACCTCCTTGCGTGCGCAGATCGACTGCTGTTCATCAGCAGTTCGGGTTCGTTCAGTACGGAGTTTTAGTTTTTTTTAATTTTAATGACCTCTCGCCTTTCATTCTAAAGTCAAATTAAACGAAGAAAACAATCACCCTTTCCTTCGGAAGAGGTTTTTTGTCAGCGTAACCATTTTTAAAAAGCGTTCTTCCGAAATTCATTCAAAAACTTGCTAGTTTCACTTTGATTTTTAAAAACTCAAGTAGGATAACTCTGTTCGCTAAAGGTGCGCTTTTGCGAAGAGGGCGCCACCGAATTTTGAGGACACTTTTTTAATTGGCCCAAAGAGAGAAGTGGCCCCTCTTGTTATGTAGACTCTTTGCAGTCGCATAAGGTCATATGAGCGCAAAGAGGTGGATGTCAACAGAGAAGTCCTTACAGGGAATCAGGCTTACTCTGCTCATCTCTCTAGCTTCAGCAGCACAAAGTCTGCTTCCACTATCAACGAACCCCAGAAATAGCGGGTCATATACAAAAGAAGTACAGGAAAAGTGACGATAGTAAGGAATGGGAAAGAAAAAGCAGCAGTTCCCTATTGAGGTTCAGGCACAGTCATGAGCATGACATTGTTGAATCAGCTCATTAAAAATTTTACTGTGAATAAGAACAAGTTAATGTCCCCCCTTTGGAAACTGCCAAAAGACACTTCAGTCAGTGGCACTGCCCCAGAGGAGGGGGGGGAGAGGGAGTAACATTAGAAGAGTCACTAGAGAGTAACATACAAAGAAGGAGGAGAGATAATGATGATAGATATTTGACAAGAAAGAAACAAACCACACTAGGGTAACCACCAACCATCCACTACAAAATTAACATGAACAAAAACTTTATTAAGGGATAGCAGACCACACTGGAATACCCACCTATCATCCACTGCAAAATTAAAGTGATGTTTAATGTGTCCCGCACGCTCACATGACCTTATGCAGTTGCGAGCGACTTAAAACACTTACCCCACAAAAAAAATGACGGTGAACAAGAAATCTTTTAAGGAAGAGCAGACCACACCAGAGCACCCCCCCCCCCCCCCCCGACCGACTGACCCACTGACCTTTGACCTGGAGTTTAGCATCCTCTGCAGCCGGTTGAGCTTCTCCTGCAGGCGTCCAACTCCGATCTCGGGTATCTTGCCGCTGACCGCCCGGGCCTCGGGTCGGTCCAGCTCCTCCTGGATGCGCTCGATCTCCTGCTCGATCTGGCGACGCTTGGCGCCCTCGTCGCGGTGCATCAATCGCAGGATGTCCTCCGTCCTCTCGTCAATGTCCTCCTTGGTGCACAGGTCGCAGTGCGTCCCTACCACCACGATCGTGGCCCCCGCAGCCCGGTCAGTGATTGCTTCCAGCCAATGGCCGATCAGCTCCTCGTAGTTCTAAATAAAGCAACGAATACACGGCATACAGTTGTCTGGTTGTTTGAGTGGTAAAGACAAGCGCATACACACAACAATGTTCATTTAATGCAGTGCCTGTCAACCTTTGAAAAGCCATCACCAACTTTTGCTACCTTTAAGAGGCTAAAACTTTCATACTGCACACCTATATGTATTTCCAAGCGGGGCATTAACCCATTCGCTACGTATTATTCTAGGCTTGTGGACGAATTAATTTTTCAGGCGAAATGAGATGATGACTAATGCACAGTTCACAGGTCTTTGGGGCCACAAATTCAAATAAATATCAACATATTAAATACCAAAATTTTCAGTATCATTTGTAGAACACGTCTGTATTGTTTATTTGTGTATTTCTTAACTTTGGTTCCTGAAAGAGGCGATTATGCATCACAATTTGTCTTGGATGCGGATGAAATTTGAAAATAACCAATTAATAATCTTTGGTGAAAATCAAAAAGATATGTTTGCACCTAGTCATATGATACATCAAAATAACCATAAATGAATATAGAACAGTAAAATATTGAAAATTTTGCAGCTACCTGCAATTTGTACACATAATTTGTACATTTGGATCATAACATCGATATTGAAAAAACAATTTTTTGACCAAAATCTCGAAAAAAGGACTAGATGCATTCACAGACAATACAAAAGACATGTATCTTATAAGGAATTATTATATCTTATATGGAATCATGCATTGGAATAAAACTACACTTGTCTTAAGCGATATTTTTTTGGTGTAATTTTACTCAAATATAGTGATTTGGGGGAGAAAAAAATATTTTGACAATTTAAATCTAGCACTGAAAAATATTGATTTCTTAATACCAGAGCAATAACAATTTGAATCCATTTTACAAATATAATGTCAATATTCTAAAGAAGAGTCCTACATTTCTTTAGTAAACAAAATAATGAAACATTTTGTTGTGTAAAAGTATTAAGACTGGTATCTGGAATATAATTTGGGCATCGAGATAAAACAAAGTCGCATAAACTTCGAAATCATGTTTCTTAACTGAATCAAAGCTTCCGATTTTCTGTGGAAACACTAGACCCGAAAGTTGACGTTATATTATAACCTTTATAATAACATGGATATGTGGATTGGAATAGAATCTAAGCTAGAATTACGGCTCGGCCTAGCGAATGAGTTAAATAACACCTGTCACTTTCCAGGTGATCCCCACTGCCCACAAAAATCATCACATTACCCACTAGTGGGCGATATTGCTCTGACTTACTGCTTGAAATGGTAAGATAAGCTATCGGAAATAACAGAGGGAGAGAAAAGAAGTAGGACCTACTAAAGGCACCCTCCAACCACCCACTAACATACTGGGAATTGCATATCAAACAATGGCCCTGACAGGAAACGTTGGAATCCGCCCTCCTAAAAGATCTAAGTTGTGTTGATAGGCAAGTACAAATACTTATATTTTTAATTTTTAGATTTATTTTTGTAGTCCCTTCAGCGTCCAAGGGAACAAAGATTGACCACTGTGTAAGACACAAAGTAGAAATACTGATCCAACTATCATATAAATCAAATCTCATGATCCTTGGGTAATGTTTGGACACTCTGTCACCATTTACAGCACTCGCAACACAATAAGGTCATATAAGTTCCGAACATTAGAGGTGTTACAAGCAGGGATGCCGAATGATTTTTGAAAAAAAAAAGAAGGAAAATGAGCAGAGCATCACATCTCACCTATACCGAACCTTGTAAAGCTTTTAAATGAGCAAACAAAAGCTGATTCAGCAAGCCATTTTGCAGAGAATTTGTTTTTTGGAGTCAGCGTGGACCCATCACCACCAACGCCATACTTCTCACCGGTTTTCACATCCACCACATCGCGAACCGTCAGCACTTTCCGTTTATCCATAATTTTGCCTCATGAAAGTCACAACTCTAGTAATTTTGCTTCATGAAAGTCACGAGTCACAACTCTTGCCGTATCTTCGCGGCAAGCCTAGATCTAAGCCTCTCTTTATGCTGAGAGTCTCAGCGCGGCAGGCCATTGTATAACGCAAACATCCAGTCGGGCTTGTGCAGTGCATTTTGGGTGGATTAAAAACCTGAACTCGCGTTGAAAAACGAAAGTCAACGATGAAAAACAGGAAAAAAACTGAAAAACAGTACATTTGGCATCCCTGTACAAGGGAGAAACAAACACAAAAAAGAAGAAGGGGGGATCCGATACAGACGTTAAATGTTTGATAAGAAAGAAGGAGCAAACCACACCACAGCACCCGTCAACCACCCACAATTTTTTTTTAAAATATACACTGAGCATAAAAACAGCCGAAACACTTACATCATGGATCCTTCAAATAGTGGGAACATTTTGTAATACATTGATAAGTCTGCAAGACAGTGAAAGATAATAACGTAAAAAAAAGTATTTTTGGAAATTATTTTTAAAAGCCTCACCTCTGTGTTGTACTTGGTGAGGTCAAAGACCAGGACGTGGAGAGCGTCCGAGGACAGGAACATGTGGTGAGCTGCCTGGTAGATGTGGTGACCGCCAAAGTCCAGGATCTGCACAGGCAAGATTGGGTTTTACTCTGTTTTGTACGAGTTGTCTTTTTTAGTTTCAGTAAGTTTTACTTTTTGTAAGTGTTTAACGGCACTTGAACACAATAAGGTGATATAAGTGCCGAAGATTAGAGGTGGTACAAGAGAGTAACAAACACAAAAAAGGAAGGGAGATATAGTTTTAGTTTTAGTAAGTGTATTACGGCACTTGCAACACAATAAGGTCATATAAGTGCCGAAGATTAGAGGTGTTACAAGAGTAACAAACACAAAAAAGAAGGAGGGGAGATAAGGACGATAGATGTTTGATAGGAAAGAAGAAGCAAACAACACCAAAGCACCTGCCAACCACCCACTTTCAGTAAGATTTATGGCACTTGCATCACAATAATATCACTAAAGAGCCAAAGATTAGAGGTGTTACAAGAAAGTAAACATACAAAGAAGAGAACGAGGTAAGATTAAGGGCGATAGATATCTGGTAGTAAAGAAGGACAAGCCACACCAGAGCGCCCGTCAATCAGTCACTGCAAAATTAACCTGAACAAGAATTTTTCTTAGATCAGAGAGCAAGCAGGCACAATCATAGTACAAGAGCATGTACTTCCAATCAAAACAAAGCAAAGCCAAAACCAATCGACCACTCCCCCCCCCCCCCAAAAAAAAAAACAAAACAATTTCACAAAAAGACAACAAACCAGGTCGCCAGTCAACAGATGAAGTCTTTGTTCTGATCTCCCCAGATGAAACTTTCCCCACCAGTTGTCTTACCTGGACACGCAGACGAGACTCTGGCTCCCACAGGTGGCGCTCCATCACCCATGTGCGCTCATTCTCAGCAGTCAGTTTAGAACGGCCCAGCATCAGAGCTTGTCGCAAGCTGGTCTTGCCAGCCTTGGCAGCACCAATCAGGATCATCTTCCAGCGGTGATGAGCTTCCTTCACACGCAGCCCTGGCACAGAAACAGGAACAGCGGTTGTTAGCATTATGGACGCAACGCTCCTCTCTCTACTAGTGAGGAACTCAGTAAAATGTAAAATCTCCCTCCACCCTCTGAACTTGGGAGGAACTCTGTAAAATCTCCCTCTCCCACCTCACTTGAAAAAGTCAGTAAAATCTCCCTCTCCCCTCTCACTTGAAAAACTCAGTAAAATCTCCCTCTCCCCTCTCACTTGAAAAAGTCAGTAAAATCTCCCTCTCCCCTCTCACTTGAAAAACTCAGTAAAATCTCCCTCTCCCCTCTCACACCTCACTTAGAAGAACTCAGTAAAATCTCCCTCTCCCCTCTCAACTCGTGAGGAACTCCATAAAAATCTCCCTCTCCCTCTCACACCAGGGTGTAGGTACCTGCCCAGCCCTACTGTCCAGGAGTAAAAGTTTGTACATTGATATAAGCCTGCTAGATTGTGAAAGACAAATCAAATGTTTATTATATTTGTATGTATTGTTATGTCTGCACTGTATGCCTATTGTTTCTACTACTCCCAACTAACAACGACAGATGACCACACTCCTGTCCCCTCTGACAACACCAACAGCAGTAACAACACCAGCTCTTCTCCGGGCTGGGGCCCTACAAAAACAGAATAAACAAAACATTAGACCCAATCTGTCCATTGTGCAGGGAGGAGCCCCAAGATTTGGAGCACTGGCTGCAAAGATGCCCACGGTGGCATCTCTTCAGGGAAGATTCAGAGAGGTTGGACTGCCTCACTCACCCGCTACCCAAGAGAGGCGGTGGCCCAGACGAAGAGCGCGCTCTTCGGGGCTCCAAACATTTCGAATGGAAAGGCTACAACACACACACACACACACACACACACACACACACACACACACACACACACACCAGCAGCAATAACCGCAACACTAGCAACTGCAGCAACAACACAACACTGACAACACCAACAACCGTACCTTTATTTTAGTTTTAGTAAGTGCAACACAATAAGGTCTTATAAGTGCCGAAGATTAGAGGTGTTACAAGAGAGTAACAAACACAAAAAAGAAGGAGGGAAGATAAAGACGATAAACGTTCGATAGGAAAGAAGAAGCAAACCACACTAGAGCACCTGCCCACCACCCACATGGTACCTTTGAGGAACTCGAACAGCTCCTGCGTGCCCTGCTGGCTCATCTCGAAGAAGGGGCTGCGCAGCGGGTTGTTCACCACGTGCAACCCGTCGCAGCCGGCCAGCCCCTCCAGCCGGTCCATCAGCAGCGGCAACTCCATCAGCTGGTTGTTGTCCAAGTCCAGAGTGACCAGCTGGTCCAGCCGGTAGATCTCCTCCGGCAGCTGGCAACAAGCGGGATAACAATGATAATAATAACAATAATACCAATGATTATAATAACAATAATAACAATAATGATAATAATAATGTTATTATAATAATAATTATTATTAATAATAATTTACAAAAATGATAATGATGACGATAAAAATAATAATAATGATAATAAAGATGGTTACAAAGAGACTGCGGCAAACCTTAACACATTCAGAAACATTCTCAGCTTCCAGGGAAGTATACAGAGCCAGCAGCCAATTAAACGCTCAAACACTAACAAACTGTCAAGATCTTTTACTGTTTATATTTATAGCCAGGTATCTATTCAAATCTGGGTGAAATGAGGAAAATTCAGGTAAAATGCCTTTTTTAAGGACATAACATCAGGCCCCTGATGGGGTTTGAACCCACTACCTTTCAGTTGCAAGCCCAACAGCATAGCTACAAGACGACTGACACCACATACCTTCGACAGTTTGTTATTTCCCAGGTACAGATGAGTCAGTTGCTCCAGTCGGCACATCTCGTCTCGCAAGACGGTCAGTCTGTTGTTGCCGAGACCTAAATACTGAAGCTTCCGGAGGTTACGTATCCCTAAAGGTATATCTGCCAAGACAGGAAAGTTTTTCATAAGGTGATTCATACAGCTTAGTTTGAAAACAGAAAAGTGTTCATCTAGACATAAAGATGAGCATTTTTCATATATGATTCACTTAGCTTAATATGAGTAAAGAAAAGTGCATCAGAAGAAGAAAGAGAAGCATTTTTCAGAGTGACTCATTCAGCTTGGGTTGAGTAAAGAACAAAATGTACATTTAGGTATTCAACTATGCATATCACTGATGGAAACGGAATTCAATTTTTTTTAAATTGGATTTTTTGCAAATCCAATCGGGGCTTCTCGACAAGTTAAAAAACAATAGGAGAGCTCTAATTTTATCTGTGTACTTGGCAAGTCTATTGTTATCTCATCGTTTTCAAGGAAAGAACAACATTGTGTGCGTGCGCTGAGCTGAAAAAAAGAAAGCTTTACAATCAAGTGAACACTTACCTTCTAGAAAATTTTCCCCCAATTCTAAATGCTCGAGGTAACGGAGCTGAAAGAGATCAGGCGACAATCGTAGTAAAGAGTTCCTCTGAACCACCAAGTGCCGCAACTTGCGTAAACCATGAACCTCACGAGGGATGTCCGTGAAGAAGTTGTCACTCAAATTCAGGCTCTGCTCAAAAAAACATGACACAAAGTTCAGGACAATAGTCACAACTTACAGCATTTTATAGACATGCACATATGTGCACTTTCAATTTTCAAAGGAGAGTGAGTGTGACCAAAAGAAAATGAGGGAAGAGAAAAGTGAGTACAAGTGGACATTTTCGACAATGTTAATGGTACTTAAAAACATGCGGAGGGGGGAGGGGGAACCGAATGAGAAGTGGTCATTTGTGAATTTTGGGCGAGTGATTGTCTTGGACAGGTGGCCGGTAGAGAAGGTTCGACTGTATATTATAATAATAATGGTACCCCTTTTATTAAGATATTTTGTAAGTCTGTACTCATTTCTATGAGACAATCAATGAATTTCAACATATGATAAGATAAAATAATATGTTATTGTCCATGCAAAAAATTTTTCTGTGGCTTTACAGGAAGCTAAAAACATGTAACTTGACATAGAATTTAAATTGTATATTATGTTTGTAAAAGAATTTCAATGAGAAGAGAAAAGTAAAAGCTGACAATAATACAACTTATCATATATCGAGTGCTCTGTGTAAGACTTTGTATGAGTCACTTTTCAAAATGGCGTGTACGGCAGAGTCTTACACTACAAGCTGTCAAGATGCATCAGACACAATTTTAAATAACGAAACGAGAAAAGGTAATAGAATTACTCACGCTGAGGTCCTCCAAGCTAAACAGAGGTTCTGGGATGGCAGAGAGGAGCCTGAGCGCCCCGGAGAAATCCACCACCACCAGTTTGTGACACTTGACCATCTCGGGGGAGACCTCCTGGAGCTGGTTCCACTTCAGATTCAGCTCCTCCAGGTTGCGCAGATTTCCAAACGAATCCGGAATATTCCTAATCTGTTGCCATGACAAGTTCAGGACTATCAGATCCCTCAGGTGACATATACACTCCGGGAACTCCTTGATCATACCTCGTGGGTAGAACTTGCCAGATAAATACAATTTACGCAATCTCTTGCAGTATCTAAGTTCAATGGGCAGAGAGGACAGTAAGTTTCCATTGAGGTTTAGCTCTGTCAACTGCTTCAATTGACCAATACCAGAGTCCACTTTCACAATGTCATTGTGCTCTAGATTTAATATCCTAAGATTCCGTAGCTTGAATACTGGTAGAGGTACTTCTCCAAAGTAGTTGAAGCCTAAGTCGAGCTGCACAAGGTTTGCACAATCCGCAAATGATGCTGGAAGCTTTCCCAGATAGTTTCCTACAGCCTCAAAGATAGTGAGATTTGTGGCCAGGGAACCAATGGCAGTGCCACCGACAGGGAAACTGAGCAGACGCAAGAATGGCAGTTTCAGCTCATGCACGTTCATGGAGTAGAGGACCCGAGGAACCCAGCCTCGGTACGCCCCCTCAGGAATGGCCAACCGTTGCCCATGTCCACCTTCGCATGGGACAACAAAGTGCTCCAAGGAATCAGATACATTCTCGCTCGCCATGATTCAGTTGAATCCACACCTCATTTTCTCAATGGTGAAGCCTTCTGTTGGTCCTAAAATGAAAAAAGATATAACAATATATCATATATGGTAAAAAGTCCTGTACTGTTCATTCAATTAGAATTGATACTCATGCTACTACAAAAGGCAACTGAACTCTTATCAGCCAGAATTGACTTCATGGATTTTCCTGAATGACCAGAATTAAGTCTGTGATGACATCCTGAATTTGCGTCAGTTTGTGTATCACTGACAATTTTGGATCTAGAGCCTATGTACGGCATACCGTCACGTACGTCAGACCGTCAGTTGGCACGCATTCGGACTAAAATTGGACAACCAGACAATTATGCGATAACCTGGAATCCTGTCTGCTATACAATTCCGTTCAACATTGTTTTGTTTTCAAATTCAACAATTTTGAGCAGAATCAGACACCTGTGTGAGCAGAAATAATCCATTTCATCTCCAAAGGTAAAAACCGCGTTCAGCCATTACCGCTTGCAGATGCACAATGCGTCATGGGAAATAAGCTATTGGTTCTGTAATCGTACCCCCGGGATTCGTTTCGCATTTTTATTCAGTTTATAAGGTGTCTAGTTACCGCCTCAAACCATTCACTGCTCTTTGTTGTAACAATTGGCGCCCGGGGGGGGGGGGGTGACGGTATGGGGTACAATTTTTGAGGGATGTACCCGATACCGTCACTATATTTTTTACATGGTGCGTGACTTGAAAAATAGCTATTTCTTGACGGACTATGGATGGCATCTTAGTACTTTAGATTTTTTTGTTTCTATGATTTGATATATTTAGACACGGATTCATTAGAAAATGAGCGACTTTATATTTTTCTTTTTTAATGTTAGAAACAAATTTATATAAGGAAACTCTATCCCATTGTATGTAATGATTATGATGATGTTCCTCTGTCCAATGTATGTTGTGATGATATTCTTCCAGCCACATGTTGTGATATATTGTTCCTGCTCCTACTGTTCTGTTTCAGAAGAAGAACTTGCTGGCCCTCCCCCAACTGCCCTTGTCTCTAGTTGTGAGTGGTCAGTTGATGCCCTAGACTTTTCGACCACAGGTCTAGAATTCTCGGGGATCGAATGTACCTCCAAGGACTTCCTGGATCCTGCAGCAGAGTTTCAGCTACCTTTGATTTCAACACCAGCTCCGGATCCTGTGGATAACCACGACCATGACTATTGTCTGCCTGAGCAGGCATTGAGACCATTGGAAGATGAAACTCTGGTGACACCCCAAGCCCCCCAAAAACTACCTCAGGACAACACTTTTGCTTTGTCCTTGACAAGGTAATTGATCACGCCATTGCCACTGGATGGATGGCATCAGACATGCATTGGGTCCGCCGTTGCCATTGGCACAAAATCGAACCTAAGGAGAACGAGGGGGCATACAGAAAGTACCTTGATTTGTACAATCAACTCATTCCTGCCCCTTCGTTCGTCAACCTGCCCGTACCAGCAAGCTGGAACTCTAAGGTTTCAACACAGAGAAGCGGGCTAAGGCCCCTACATACATGTCTTACGGGCAAAGTACAAAGCATGGGAGGAGGCGAAGAAATTGGAAGAAGAGAAGAAAAAGGAAGAAGTGGAAAAGAGGAAGAGAGAAAGGGAGAGAAAAGGGTGGAGAAGGAAGAAGAGAAAAGAGGAGAAAAGTTAACAAAGTTGGAGAAGCAGAGAGCAGGGAAGAAGAAGAAACAACAGGGAAATGAAGTGGGAGTAAGGGAAGGAAGAGAAAAGTACACAGGCAAAGATGATGAAGCAAAAGAGAAGAAAAGGAGAGAGTGAGGACGAGGAAAAGGATGAAAAGGAGGTGGGATTTGTTTACGACGATGGCCGCTCCGCAGTTTGTTGTGATACATGATGTGGAAGAGTAAAATGAAGCATTCATGTACTTGTGTGTAAGTAAAAGATGTTCAAGTGAGTTTGTTGTGATATAATGTGAGGAAGAGTAAAATGAAGCATTCATGTACCTGTGTGTGAGTAAGATGTTCATATGAGTTTGTGATATGTGTGGAAGAGTAAAATGAAACATTCATGTACCTATGTGTGAGTAAGATGTATGTGAGTCTGTTCTGGTGGTTGTTCTTTTTAGTATGTCAATAAACATTAGTTCTGTCTTACGTCCACTGTACAAAAGGAGTTCGTCTTTGCTTCTTTCCTCTTTTCAAACGCCTAGTTGTGCTTCGATTTGAGAGTGCTGGTATGGGGTGTAGTGGGTGATGGTATGGCGTACATGCCATGACAGAAAACCCGACATGTGACGGTATGGGATACATGCCATGACATCATGCGTCAAGTCTCGGTTAGGGGTCTTCTTTATACACTATATGACTAAAAACTTCACCCCACACCGACAGGAAAGGCTAGCCTCTCAACGAAAAGAAATTTTGGGTCGATGTTTTTGAAAGAGCCGACGTTATGGTAATTTTAATACAAAAGTTCACTTCCGGAAATAGTAATCACAAAACACTAAGGTGACGGTGTATGCCGTACAGGGGCTCTAGATCTGTTTTCATTCACAATGCCAAAAAATTAACCATCAGCAATATTAGGGCAGCAAACAGTTAGACAAATGCGGGAAAAGTACAAGTGTTTTGTAGAGGAATTCAATTAACATTCTTGACTTGGATTCTAGATCTAGATCCAAAACTGTTGGTGATACAATGCGCTGCAACTGTTGCAATTCAAAAATTAACTTTTAAACTTAGAATTTTGACAAACAAAGGAAGCATTATCATGTCTATTTTTAACGCGACCAATATTATAAACATGTATTTGGAGGATGGGATGGAAAAGTGAATGTATTAAATTAGGCCTAATAATTAGGGGAGGTGAAAACGACATTTTCTGTGGCGTTTTTGCAGTTAAGGTTGCATCCCTGCTCATTGTGTAGCCTATTTCAAATAGTATTTGGTCATCAAAACTTCTGGATTTCTTCTTTGGATGTAAACAAATGGATCGTGGACTTAAACAGAACTACAAGATCACCGGTCTCTTCTTTAAAAATTTACTGTGTTTGCCCAACTTGGGGTGGTCGCTCATTACGGAAGTCCTTCCCTGATCTTCCACCATAGGCCATAGGCAAATACAGCCACCTATAATGGCTAGATCTAGATCTATACTATAGTGGCAAATGAAAGTAGAGACTCAGATTTGTTTGATCTTTTCTTGGCATCTGTCTCTACTCACACTTAGATTATGACATGAATGGTCTCTGCTGTCGGTGTCTGCTGCTGGGTCAGTAGTGGGTTCGGAGAGACAGGTAAAGACTTTTCAGGGTGTGCAGAGAATAAGGAATGCTTATGGCAAAAATGAAAGATAAACGCACAACTCTTTACCAGTGCCAGGGACTGGACATTGTTAAAAGCTCATGATATTCTGCAGAATTAGGATACACACTAAAACAGGAATAATAAACCTCACCAATGTCACTTTCTGCTCCTCCAACAGAAGAGCCAAGTTTATGTGATAACTTGAGAAAAAAGCCAAACTGAAAGTTCAGTTTCAGAATGCTTAAACTAAGCTGAAACATTTAAGTTATTGAACAAAGTTGCTTCAAATGCTTTATTTCTTATAATTCTAAATCTAAGTGAGTTGAACTTATTTCTTTTATAAAGATATAATGACAAAATAAAAACGAAAGCAAAGGTGATTTAAAGAAAAGCAGTGCTGCAAACTGGCAATACAAAAGAAGAAAACACCAGTAGCCCCCCTTTTATCCTATTCCCGTACTCGTGTGCATTCAAAAGTTTCG